TTTAATTCGTCCGTTTGGCTTTTGATTTCTCCGGCGACATCCCCGGTCATCGGAAAAGACAAAAACGGTTGTTCTTGATTCTGCGACTGTTCACGAGACAAACGTAGACCAGTTGATACTACATTAGGAGCTTGTCGACGTCCAATAACTTGCGGCGGAGTTTGCGGGGGAGGGTTCATCGGAGCCGCCGTGATATCTAAATCAATCACCGACGAAACTTCTCTCGCTCGCTTTCTTGAATCAACCCCTGTTTTTTTTACCCGCCAAAAAAGATAACAGATTCACCGGTAAGATATAAATAAATAAACCGATTAATTTCTCAAAAAAACGTCATCGATCGGGAAACAAACCGGCGTTGATTGAATGAAACTGAGATTTATGAGGCTGATTCGAACAATCATTCCCTTCTTGTCCGTTGTTGAGGAAGAAGAGAGTAGAAGGATGGTGATGAGCTTGAACCGCCATGAACACAGAGAAGAGAGAAGATAGAAGAACCAAAAAAAGCTTCTTAATGAGAATTTCTCTTTAATAAGTATAAATCACACGAAAGATATGTATGTATCGGACATGATGATGAAAGATTGAAGCTTTGGTTCGGGATTCTGATTTTCTTTTATAAATATGAGAAATAAATGGTGAAGATTGAAGAAGAAGAAGAAGAAGAAGGACGAGGAAGAGGAAGAGGAAGAGGAATGGAATTGGGGAGTTTTTTAAGGGAAGAGCTTTTAATAAGTCTCTCTATTATATGCACATACTAAGCATGATTCTCATTTATTATGTAACTCTATGTTGAATATTTTGAATCGCATCTACATTTATTTATTTTTTTTACTTTTCTTCTTTTTTATGGAAACGTATATTTCGTTTTTTTTAGATACGCGTATTGATTCGTCAATATTAGCAGTTTCTTGAATTTTGTTTTACTAGTTTATGAAAATGAGGAAGGTAACTAGTTGCAAAGTATCTATTCAATCTTTTATATACTGCCTATGCTATGTATTTATGTGTTGGAAATATTTCAGTAAAAAACTAAATTTGGAAATGTAACTAATTTTTTTCCAATATCATTAGAAAAATATCCGTAAATGTATATACATAAAAAAGTAATATACTCCCTCTGTTTTTGAAAAGTTGTCGTTTTAACTGTATTTAGACAAATTAAGAAAATGTATACAATGACTATATTAACCTTATAAAAATGACAAGTAATTATTTACAAATAATTTGTGTTTAATTAAATGAGGGTAATTTGGGTAGTTATTGGCATAAGTTACATTATTACCTTAAAACGACAATTAATTTAAAACAAAAAAATGCTCTAAAACGACAACTATTCGAAAACGGAGGGAGTAAAATTTTGCTAGGTAAATTACTCTAGAAATTTTAAACCTTTATTTTTAGTTCTATTAAATATAAAAATGTTATATGTGTAATTAATATTTTGTTATTTTCGTATCAAATCTACATATTCGGTGATATGAAATATCTAGTAGGTTACACATCATTGAAATTTGAAAATTAATTTTCTGCATATTTCTTTGTCCTTTTTTGTTTTTGTTCATCTTAGAATAAAACAACCCTATATATATATCCTTAAACACTTATGCATGCATAGACCAAATAATATAATTTTTATTGTAAACAACATAATGGTTCAAGAGTTTTAATACTTTTTACTATCTTAATCTTTTTTGATTTCCAAAAAACTAAAAACTTATCTTCTCAAGCTTTCTTCCTTTTGGTGTTTTCTTGCTTTTTCTCACGAGAAGACTCTCTGTCGTGTTTCCTCATTGCTGCTTTGATTGATGCTATCGAACGGCACCGTCTTCTTTAACCTCCTTTTTTTTACTATTCCTTTTTTTTTTGGTTTGATCTATTTCATAAATTACCATGATACGATTTGTTTAATCCAGTATAATAAAAATGATGTAATTCTCCGAAAAAGAGAAGAACGTTCTTCTAAATTTATTATTAAGCTCCTACTATTCTTGAAGTTTTCTTGTTGATATTTTCAAAATATTATACCAAATAGTATACTTCATATATATTCACGATAATAAATTAGGTAGATTCAAATTTAATTGACTGTTACATCTGATTGAAATTTTAGAAATTATGGTATTGCAGATAACTGACTTTTTCCATGATATACATTTGCGCGCGAACTGTGTATATAATATAGATGGAGAAATATTTATTCGGTTTAGTAAAGTATCATGATGGAACAGAAATCTAACAACTAAACAAACATAATCAACAAGTTTTATCAAATTAACCAGCTAAGTTATGAGCATATATCATATATATTATTATAGATATTAGATGGGTCGTTGCTCTTGGCCTTAACCTAATACGTTCCAAAGTCTTAATTAGTTTTGAACATTAGGCGAGTAAGAAATTTGTTGACACCATGTAAGTTTCTGCCATATAAAACTTGTGATGCTGATATAAAAAGTGGTTAATTCAAAATCAATTTCTATTATGGATTAATGTAGAAACGATGAGTATTAGACTATTACTATCTATGATTGGACCAAAACAGAGTAATAGTAGTGATGATTAAAAAAACTAAATATTATTGAAAATAGTAATGGAGACATAACACACTTTTGTTCTTTGCCCTTTAAAGGAGCCCACCACACCAAATTGTGAATTCTTGGGCATAACTTCTTGAACATTCAATTCTTCTCTTCCTAAAACATGTTATCCTCACTTTTCCATCTCTCTTACTCCTCACCCAACAATCTCATTTCTCATACTTCCTTCATATTCTTTTACTATACATATACATATATTATATATGTAGCAAAACTATATATGTATGTATAAATAAACAAACATATATAGCAAAATATACAAGACGGTGAACTTTCCGTTTTATCCATGGTAAACTTTCCGGACATTCTTTACCATGAGGCATGTTCGTAGCCGAACGTTTCAGCGAAACTTACATGGTGTCAAATGTCAATTTTTTTTTAAAAGAAAATTTTGTATCTTTATTGGATGTGACAAGGCATCTTCAAGAACAATGAGTGTATGTCTAGGGTGAGAGTAATTTGGTGAAGGTAAAACAAGAAGTTATACATGTATATGCTAAAGAGATGTTTTCAATTTAATGGTTATCTTATACATACATACCTATATATAGGTGCAACTTTAGCCTTAGTTGGATTTGTGTGTTGGCCATGATGAAAAAATGGTGACTTAATTGAAAATAGAAAAATGGAAATTATTTTATGTTAAATAGAAATCAAGAAATAAAATTAAAAAAGTGGAAAGAAGAAGAGTCAATATTCAAAGGTGTAGATTTGATTAGATGCAAAATACACAATTGGACATCATTGATTTTCATTAATTAGGGTTTTTAAAATTATCCCTTTAGGCCACCTTCACGCTTCCTCATGAGTAACAATAATAATGCTTCACACTATCCAATTTTTCACATTCTCATCAACCAAAAAAGTCGTTTCCGTCTTTTTCAAAACGAAGGATATATATAAACATATACATACGTGTGTATCATATTGTCATCTTTAACAAACAAAAAAGTGTATATCATATGGTAAAATGACATTTATTTTGGAACGAAAACTACACTTATTTATTTAAAAAATTATAGTAAGAAGGAATGTAGATGTTAGAAAATTAGACTCTTACACAAATAAGATAATAAGATGAGAATGGACCATACACACACTATAGATATATCTATAGATATGGATTATTACGTATTTTGCCATTTTTTATAATGGTATTTATGGATTTTGTCCATTTTTGAATAATTTATGGATTTTGCCTTTTTTTAACACTTAAAAATGTACGTATTTATGATTTTTTTTTGCAAAAATACGTACATTATACCAAATACTAAACCCTAAGAACAACTGGAACCGACTAAACCCAAACATAACGAATGAAACGCATGTTAAATCATATTTTTGGAGCCTAAAAAAGGGCAAAATCCATTAATTATTCAAAAAAAGCAAAATCCATAAATGCCATTATAAAAAAGGATAAAATCCGTAATTAATTCGTATATATATATATATATATATATATATATCTATAGTGTGTGTATTAGTGTATATATAGACAAAAGGTGTAGAAGTAGAATGTAGTGGCAAGAGCTAGACAGGTAGCAAAGACATTGATGTAAGGGAATGGCATCTCTTGAGCCAATACATGATTTGGTCTTAAGTCAAATTTCTTTATGGATTAATGAAACTAATTGTCATATTTTTTTTTTTATTAGAAGCACCATACCATGAAGTTAAATTTGGATGTTGAACCTATCAATTCATTATTTATCATGTTTTTGGTTACTGTTTAATGAGCCCATCTTTGTTTGTTGAAAATATGAGTAGTACAAAAGAAGAGTCAATTTTGTATTATTGTTTTTTAAAAAGTTTTATTTGGCTGTATGTTTCCTCTTTCTCCAAAAAGGTGTGGCTTGTGCCTTGGGTCATGGTCTCACGTAAGAACCTAACTAAATACGAAAAAATTACAATACTTAAAGATAAATTAACGGTCCAATTTAATGCATAGGTGACATGTGAGTGGTAACATGTGAATGGTAAGATAAGTATTTGGTTTCTTTATCCCTTAATAAATCGATGACCAATAAAACTCCTTTTGGACATTTACATGAAAATCAGATCACTTGGCCAAAATAACGATCATTTACATATAGTGTGCATCATACAAAATTTGTTTGTAATATGAAAATAAACAAGTAGAGGAAGCTCGGAGGCACCGACGAAAGTTCCGTAAACTTATGAGCCTATGGCTCATATAATATGCTCCTACCTTGAAGATCTGTTCTTCTTTGTTTACTTCCTTGTTTTTTATCCTAATTTTTGCCAAGGAACTAAACCTTAGGTATTGCACTTGTAATTCCTAACCTTTTCATTTTATATGATATTTACCCACTTAGCAAAAAAAAAAAAAAAAAAAAAGAAAATAAACAAGTAAATAAAGTTTAGTTTCTTTTGTTGTAAAAAAAACAAATTAGCGTTTTGTACACACTTTGTGTCTTCTATCTTGTTATATATATTTATTAATCAAAAGGTTTCAGAAGTTAGCCAAATTGTAACTTTCAAGAAAAACCAAACTAATTAATCATACCCTTCCTCAATTTTTGTTTCATTTTATAATACGGATAGCTATGGATTCTTATATTCATCATCACCATCAAGTCAATTCCTACATATATATATGGATTCTTACTCATCTACACCATCATCAAATGGATCCGAAAATCTTGATAATCTTTACGTGTTTCTCTATATAATTCACGAATATAAACTTAAATGTGGGAGTAGTGATGCCAATTAATTTGATAATGTTATTTTTTGGACCCACTTTTTTTTTTTGAATTTCCAAGACTAAATGATTCCCCGCAAGAAGGTCAGAGGCGAGACAAACAAGGTACATCGTCCATTTGGTGGAATTTGAAAGACATTACCAACTTCTTCTTTATTGCATAATATGAATCAATTTTCATATTCGTTTGGTACTTAATAAGTTAATATAATCAAATCCAACACATATATTTCATAATTTTCTTTAAAAAGGTATAGTGTACCAATTACCAAAACCTAAACAATAACAAAACTACATGAATCACAAGTTCAATATACCTAGATAAGATTCGACTTAATCTAAGAATCATTTTTGATCCATTTTGAGTTTTGAAGCATCCTAGTTTTGGGTATATGTATATATAATAACAAGCTTGAATCCAAAACAATTATATATATGCATTGCTACTTTTTTTCTATAAGGTTTGATTATATGCATTGCTAGTTTCTTATCGTGACAATATATAAATATATATATCACTAACCAAATTTTTTTTGCCTGGTATGGTTATTCATCAATTTGTTCAACTTTTTCATTAAATTTGGGTTTCGGGTGTAAAATTGTTGTTAATTTAAATTTCGCATTTTAACAACAACAAAAAAAAAACAAGATTTCATAACAAATCATAAATAAAGTATATTTCATAAATCACAAATCATATTTCATCACATTTGGCATAGAAACAAATCATAAATAAAGCATCTTTAACTAATATGTCCACTGAAGTTGCTCATCCATATCAATAGACCCAATAAAACCACTAGAATACATATATACTTTGTTATGTACCATATAAAAGGTATAATGTAAGATTTGAAATATCTATACCAAATCTTCAACAAAAAAAACAAAAAGTGATATTGGTGGAAAATAAAAGGAGAAGTTTGAAGATGGGGTTTGATAAGGCAAAGAAGGAAAACCATTAAATAAGAATACTATTTGTTGTTGTTATTGTTAGATTCTCTCAACCATCAATCCATCCTCTACTTCTCTTTAAATTCTTGTAACCTTTTATGAGGGGGACCAAGGACCAACCATATTTTAGGGTATGGCCAAAACAATTTAAATCCAACAAGCTTTAACAACAAATTATGGGTTAATCAAACAAGAAACGTCAAAGTAACTAACCCTCTTTGACAAAAAAAAAAAAAAAAAAAAAAAAAAAACTAACCCTCAAGTAGCTGAATTGCGCCTATAGAAAAAGTTCTTCAATATTGTGAGTTTGAATCTCGACGGTGGGAAGAGGGCTGATTTAACTTGGTATGTACATTTCAAAAAAATTATGGACAAAAAGTTTGATTTTTTTTTTGCTAATCTAAAAAAACATCAAACATAATAATTTATTTAGATGAAAAATTAGTAGAAGTCGGATTCACGTCGATTTAAATGGTGAATCTAAATAAATTAGTTATTGCTCTTGCTCCCATGTTGACGAAGTATCACCTTTCTATAAATCTAAAAGCTTATCAATCTTATGTGTCATTTGTACGTGAAACAGAAAACATACAAACTTAGTAAGTAGCTAGTAACTTATGGATAAAAATGAAATAGTAAAAACCAGCAACATGAAGAAATCTAAAAGATTAGAAAAAGATAATTTGGTGTGTCGCCATAAATCGAGAGAATATTAGGTCAATGACCATTAAATCCACTAAATGTGGTTATAGCACGTTATATCATTATTTAAGTGTGGAATGAATACGTAATACCATCCTCTTATTGATTTTTGTTTTTCATGTTTGATTTTTGGTTTCAAAAAGGTTAAGTAACACGTGAAGAGAAGTTCATCTGTTTTTTCTTCAAATCTTCATTCCCTCTCTCATTTTTGTTTGATCATCTATTCCTTAAAAATTTGAACCATCTTATTATATCTACTATATAATTAATTATATTTGTTATACTAAAATGATAGAATATATTGTTCTGAAAGATTTCTACATGTTTTGTATAACATTAATTATATAAAAAGTATATATTTTTCTTGAAATAATATAATATTCTGTTATTATAGGCGTGTTTGTGTAAAAATTTCGGATATGCGAATGGACATCCAGTCCAAATCGTTGAGAATCGACTTCTAAAAAATGAATGAACATACTACATACACAAAGAAATCAAGGGCCACTCGGGAAAGTGGCGAAAACGGGATCGAGAAAACAAAGCGTGTGTGACATGAACATATAAGTAGACAACTTTCAATTTTTCGTCAGTTATGCATATACATATGTCACACTACACTAGTATTAAGAGAGTTCAAAATAAAGTACACTTAACTATTCGAATTATGGAGATGATTATTGCGGAGCCAGATGAGGATTCCTCCAGAACAAGAAAATTATGTGGGTGTTGCTAATCAAGTGACTGGTCTTTTTGAGAAGAGATATCTCTCTAATGCTCTGTTATAGACACATTTTCTAATTAGTGTTTTGTTTCTATATGAACTTCTCTAATCTAGAAAAATGTTGCATTGTTTATTGAATGCTAAGATGGGATAATGGAAAAGAGGAGATGTTGCATTTACCTCTATGATTGGGTAATGTAATGGGCCTATGTCACATTGTTACAAAAAGGCCCAATAAATTTTATCTTTTTATTTTCCCTCGTGGTCGAGAGGCCCACGAAAACTACATGAATAAAATTTCCGTCGCAATAACATGTACCCATTTTATTGGTTTGGGATTTAGAAAGACTTTTAATGAGTTTAAAAGTTATGTAGAATATGTTGTTATTCAATCAAGATTTTTAAAAACTCTATTACAATTTGGTGTTATTGGTTTGAGATTTATAAAAAGTAATCTAAAATCTTTATAAATCTAGTGTTATTGGATTAAGAGTTTTATAGAGTCATTAAAAGTTTTGTGTTATTCAATTAAAACAAAAGAATCTTGGATTGTTGATAAATTAAAATATTATGTTATTGGTTTAGGATTTTATATAATTTTCTTCATAAAAAAAGTCATGAAAACTCCCCCATAAAATAGAGAGATTGTGAATAGTCTATGACTTTGTATGTGTCAGCAATCTTTGACACCGGAATCGTCTCCGTCGCTGCTTCTCCTGTTCTCCAGCAATTTCAATTTCCAAAATTGGGGAATGGAGGAGACAAAGACATCTGTTTATGAGATGATATGATCTGTTTGTGTTTTTTGTCTTTGTCTTGGTCATCTATTTGTCTTCGCTTAATAAACAGTTTTCTATTTGTTGGATTTGTGTTTGATTGGTGAATGAATGGACCAAATTGCGAATATTCAAGAGGATGAAGCGGTGGACAAATAGATGACAAAGACAAAGACAAAAAACAAGAAAACCAAAAAAGAAGAAGAAAGATAACAGAACAGACGTGTTCTGGTTCAAAGACTGAAAGGGTTATCAAAACAACCCAGAAAAATATGAAACTTTGTTGAAAAATAGTAGAGAGATATACGAAGCTACAGGAAAAAGCGGAACGTGATTTGCTGTCACGGTCTGAAAGTTATGACCAATCTACCAAGACCGAAGAACAGAGCGACGAAGCTGAAGTGCACCAACTTCAAACTTTTTCTCAAGTCGACTCACAAAGAATCAGAAGCTCATCTTTATACGGTTGGAAATATCTTGATCTCAAGATTTCAGAACAACTTTTAGATCTCCAAACCGAGGTCTGAATCAGAAGATATCAAAGGAAGAAGATGAAGCAAAAACAAGACTATCAAGACTCAAAACCGCAAATTCGAAGAACCAAATTAGTACAACTCTCTGGTAAATAAAAACTTATTATAAAAAGAAAATCAAAAGTTTGCTCAAAGATAACAAGCTTCGTCACAAACAATGAAACCAAACAAACCAAGATCTTTGTCACCCCTTAATCCAACACAGGCAAAGAAGAGAAAAATATTTGAAAATAAAAACTTCATGATCTTCATGGTATGCTCCCTGTTCCTGTAGCTTCTACCCACATACTAGCAGTTATTTTGTCTCTCCAATTATTAGCATATTCCCTTTGTTGAGATTGGAGAGGTCCCGTATCTCCATTTTCCTCATAATTGTTTTCTTCGTGGCTCTCATTGTTTTCTTCGTCGTTGTCACTGTATTCTTCGGGAAGAAACTCATCGGACCGACATTCTCTACGAAGAAAGTTATGTAATCCAGCACAAGCTAATACAAGTTATGCTTGTACCTTAAAAGGAAAAGGCGGTGCTGATTTGAAAATCAAAAAGCGAGATTTGAAGATACCAAAAATTCTCTCGATCACATTTCTCAAAGATGCATGACGCAAGTTGAATAACTCATTTTGATTACTAGGATCACAACCTTGACCTCTAAAGTCTTGTAGATGATACTTTGTACCTCTGAACGGAGCTAAAAAAATGCGTCGATTTGCAAATCCACAATCAACTAGATAATATTTTCCTGAAATTCATATATGATAGCAATGATATTAATAGTTATATTAACAAAAGAGAGGTAACAATTTTCTGTGTAATGCATAAGTATATACCTTCAGGAACAGGTAGCTTGCTCTTACTTCTCGTTAAAGTTGGACAAGATTTTGGAAATATTTTGTAGGAAAAGTTTGGAAAAGTCATCAAGAGTATACAAGATTATGGAAAAAAGTTTTGAAGACTTTACAAGATTTTGGAAAATAAATCATCAAGATAATATAAAACTTTTTAACAATCTTTTAAAATTCTTTATTATCAAGTCACTAAAAGTCTTTCTAAATCTCAAACCAATAACACCCCCTAAAACTTTTTAACAATCTTTTAAAATCTTTTATTATTAAGTCACTAAAAATCTTTCTAAATCTCAAACCAATAACATCCCCTATGTCTGTCATCCAAATTCCTTGAATTAAAAAACAAAATAAATCAGTAACCGTACATGCATAAAAAGATAAAATACGACAAATATTTACAAATTATTTATAGAAAGTATAAAAAATACCTGGACGCGTATGTATACGGAATACCGTAGCGAGTAGCTGTGGATATAACACGTAGACATTTAAGCCCCAGCTTCCACCTTATCTTTATCTGACACGTGGCATTAATACAAGCATGGGTCCCAAAAACTCTCGGTCTTCTTCTTATTTTTTTGTCTACCTGATGCCACTCGTTTTTGTCTTTCCCATCTTATCCGAAAGATCCAACGGCTATCAATGATTACATCAATCAGAATTTTCAAATTAGTGTCGGTATTTCCATGATATATCAATTTCATCCCTCATCTTTTCAGTCAACACTTTTCTTCCACTAATTTTACTTGAAAACATAGGGTCTGACTGGTGTAAGTAGAAAAGATAAAACTAGAGGAAGTTGGAGGAATTTTGTACTTCTAATATTAAGCGGAAGTAAGTTTTCTGCTGGAAAAAAAAAACTTTCTTTGAGAACAAAAAATTAAAGTGGTGGGTCCAGAGATTATTAGAAAAGAAATATTTCTTCTCCTCTTCTACCAATCAGACCCATAATGCTTTTTGAACACTCTTTGACCTTTAAATTAATGTTTAGCTCATGAAATTTGATCATAAACCATAAAAATAAAAAAATTAAATTGAAAATCACGTTCAAGTTAAAGCGAAAAATAATATTGTAACATATTTTATGGATTTGTGAGCAAAATCTTGGTGATAAAATTATAAAATATGATTTTATGTAAAGAAAAAAAGATATTCTATGTTTTGCAAACATCGGATTTCAATGAAAAGCACGTCAATTATCTAAATATAAATTTATTTTATTCGGACTTATATAATGTATGGAAACTAGTATCATATGTGTCTAAATAAACTGAATATAACAATTTGTCTGACTGTCGTTTATACCGATTATCCAAATGTTGACTGTTGAAATTCAGAGATAATAATGTACCCAAACATTATATGTTTCACAAATTTGATAAAATTACCGAACATAAAATACATTTTTTATAGAAAAAGTATTAAGTTTGCTTTTGCTAAAAAATAAAATAATTTCATCATTTTGTTCAATTTACTAATCAAATCTGAACTATTGAACTAACAACTAATTTCAAGAATGCGGTTTTATTTTAATATATAAATAGTAAGGGTAGTTGTTTCAATGAAAATACCAATGTAAGGACTAAGTACAAATTTCATTATAATATGTATTTGACAAAAAAAAAAAAAACAGATAAAAGTATAATAATTTAGACAAGAAAAGCGTCGGTGTTATAATATAAAAGACGATCAAAATCGATCTTATTTACAAGAATTTGTTCCTCTCTCGAAGAAGAAGACGACGTTAATGGCGGAAACCGTGGAGCTCCCGAGTAGGTTAGCGATTCTTCCATTCAGGAACAAGGTTCTCTTACCTGGCGCCATTATTCGAATCCGTTGTACTTCTCATAGCAGGTGAATTTTCATTTCCTTAACGATTCTTATGCTTCCTTCTTCTTCTTCTCCTTCTTCTTCTTCCTCCTCTGGAATTTGCGTTTGTTTTAGGTAATTTGATGCTTGGACTCATTCGAGTCAGTTTCAACAATCGAATAGGGTTAATTTTGTGTAGTATTGATCGTTAATAGGTTACACGTTTACATATACAACAATTTGATAACCTTAATCTTCGAATTATGCTTTGCTGGTATATATAATTAACGTTTGTTGCTTTGGTTACTTGTTTCTCAAATTTTAAGCGTGACACTAGTGGAGCAAGAGCTATGGCAGAAAGAAGAGAAGGGTTTAATTGGCATTTTACCTGTTCGTGATGATGCTGAGGGTTCTTCTATAGGGACGATGATTAATCACGGTACTGGGAAATTTGATTTTGATATCGGACGAATTTGATTTGATAAGAGTATTTGTGTTGATTTAGTTTCTTGTGCCAAGGTGCTGGAAGTGATTCTGGAGAAAGAAGCTTGAAATTTCTAGTTGGTACAACAGATGCTCAGAAGTCTGATGCAAAAGATCAGCAGGATCTTCAATGGCACACCAGGTTCGGTTTATTTTTGCACTTGCTAGACTCTGAGATAATATGAATGATGTGGTTAAGGTGCTCAGAAGTGTGATATGATTTCTATTTTGGTTTGACTCGCAGCATATGTTGTTGTTTTTGATATCCAGGGGAGTAGCAGCTCGTGCTCTGCATCTTTCAAGAGGGGTGGAGAAACCAAGTGGAAGGGTTACATATGTGGTTGTCCTTGAAGGTCTAAGCAGGTTTAACGTTCAGGAGCTTGGAAAGAGAGGACCATATTCAGTTGCTCGGATTACATCGCTCGAGATGACAAAGGCAGGTAAGATATATTTTTTTCCATTTCTAGTTTTAAGTGACTACTGGTGTCAAATTGTTATCTTCTTTCCTAGAAATTCCTGTCTTATACATTATATGGTAAGGACCTATAGTCCGCTGCTTCATCATGCTACTAAATGAGTTTCCTGCCTCTTTTGAGGTCAACGAGACTTTAATATATGTTAGCTCTGTGTATCTTTAATATATAGATAAGTTTATGCTTGTGAAAATTATTGGTGGTTAGAGATTCTTTAAGATAATAGTTTTGAGTTGGAGCTTGTTTGGTAATGATAATTTTTCTGGCTTATTTCAGGTTGGGTCATGACCTTTTATTTTTCTAATATATTTGGCGACATGCTAGTCCATTAATGTCTTTAGCTGGTTACTTTCTGGCCATCTGCAGAGTTGGAGCAAGTGCAACAAGACCCAGATTTTGTAGCACTGTCACGCCAGTTTAAAACCACAGCTATGGAGCTTGTCTCTGTGCTTGAGCAGGTAACTTTAGTGAAACTAAACGGTTGTATGTTTTTGGTCACTCCTTTTTCAAGTTTCATGTTTGCTTCCGCATTAGAGTTTCCAAGATAAATTAAAAAATTGACAGCTGAAGTTATAAGTATCTGTTTTCATGAAATGGATTCTTCTTCGGGATTTTTTCTTTCCATGGGAGCAATTATATAATCTTCATCTAATGGAATATGGACCATTCTTGATAGCATCAATAAAACATGCATTGATTCTTGTTTCAGAAACAAAAAACTGGTGGAAGGACAAAAGTTCTTTTGGAGACAGTTCCTATCCATAAACTAGCAGACATATTTGTTGCTAGCTTTGAGATGAGTTTTGAAGAGCAACTATCTATGCTGGATTCAGTTGACCTTAAAGTAAGACTTTCAAAGGCTACTGAACTAGTTGATCGGCATTTGCAGGTTAGCTCTTGATATTCATGTTATTGTATCTGTCCTCAATTTTCCCCTAGGCATTATGAACTCATGTTGGTTCACTTGTGGCAGTCAATTCGCGTGGCAGAGAAGATTACTCAGAAGGTGGAGGGCCAGTTGTCAAAGTCACAGAAGGAGTATCTCTTGCGCCAGCAGGTTTGGTTTCTACAGGCACTGGTTGTCAAGTTGAGAGGTTATTGTCCTTCAGTGGTATGACGGGTAGCAATGAAACTGGTTTTTGCAGATGAGAGCTATTAAAGAGGAGCTTGGTGACAACGATGATGATGAAGATGATGTAGCTGCACTTGAAAGAAAGATGCAAGCTGCGGGAATGCCGTCAAACATATGGAAGCATGCTCAAAGGGAATTGAGGTATACTTTGCTAGAGCACAATAGCTAATGGTGTGTGACTGTGGACCAACTTGAAGAGTTAATTTCTTTATTAGTGATTTTCTTTTTCATTTCTTAATGCAGGCGACTAAAAAAGATGCAACCTCAGCAACCTGGCTATAACAGTTCACGAGTTTACCTGGAGCTGTTGGCTGATCTTCCTTGGGAGAAGGCAAGCGAAGAACATGAGTTGGATCTAAAAGCAGCAAAAGAACGTCTTGACAGTGATCACTATGGTTTAGCCAAGGTCAAGCAACGGATCATTGAATATCTGGCTGTTCGAAAGGTTGTTTTGTTTGTCTTATTATATTTTACAGTGACCCATCTTCAGTTTCTGGTTTTCTGATTTTATCTTGATTGAAATTTATTCATTACAGCTTAAACCAGATGCGAGAGGCCCAGTATTGTGCTTCGTTGGTCCACCAGGTGTGGGAAAGACATCTTTGGCATCGTCTATTGCAGCTGCATTAGGTAGAAAATTTGTTCGCTTATCTTTGGGTGGTGTGAAAGATGAAGCTGACATTAGAGGACACAGAAGGACTTATATAGGAAGCATGCCAGGGCGCCTCATTGATGGGCTAAAGGTGAGTTTCTTGTTTTCTAAGGAGACATAACTAACTTTTGCTGATGAGAAATCTGAAAGAAACTTAGGAATTTGTTTTCGAACAGGAACTAAGCTGTAGCAGATAAGTTTGTCTGTCTGTCCTTGACAAGTTTAAGTCAAATAAAGTGTTATAGATCATCAAAATGATTACTACTTAGCTTTTCTGAACAGGCATTGGCAAAACTGCTGAGTAGATGCTCTTCTAATATGTGAATGTCCCTTTTGATTACAATCATGTTGGATGGTTTGTTTTGTTATATGATATTTTCTTTATCACTAAGGTTTCACTCTTATGTTTTGATTTTAGAGGGTCGGTGTTTGCAATCCAGTTATGCTGTTGGATGAGATTGACAAAACAGGCTCGGATGTTCGGGGTGATCCAGCTTCTGCACTGCTGGAGGTTTTGGATCCAGAGCAGAACAAATCTTTTAATGATCAGTATCCTATCATGTTTCCTCATTCAATATAAATATTAGATTCAACGTCCAAACATTGTTAGGCTTGCTGAAAGTTTCTTGCATGAGTTTTAAATCTTGAAATTGTACTTTTCACATACCCCTAGTCAACAACTCTATTCATTCATAGATGTTCAGATGATGCTTGATTTAGTTGGCCACTCTATTTTATGGATTGACGGTTACCCTTAACTGAAAAAATAGCTATCTGAATGTTCCATATGACTTATCAAAGGTGGTTTTTGTTGCCACTGCAAATAGGGTTCAACCTATTCCACCTCCTCTTCTAGACAGGATGGAGCTAATTGAGTTGCCTGGTTATACGCAAGAGGAAAAACTTAAGATAGCTATGCGCCATCTGATTCCTCGAGTTCTAGATCAGCATGGGCTTAGTTCTGAGTTTCTCAAGATTCCAGAGGTAGATTGTTATTTTTGAAAATTTTGGTGTATTACCAATAATTGTCTCTCGTGTGGTGCGCTTATTCAGTTTCTTCGTATACTCGCCATAGGCTATGGTAAAGAATATAATTCAGAGGTACACAAGAGAAGCCGGTGTTCGTAGTCTAGAGAGAAACTTGGCTGCTTTAGCTCGTGCAGCTGCTGTGATGGTTGCAGAGCATGAACAAACTCTTCCGTTGAGCAAAGATGTGCAGAAACTTACATCTCCTCTGCTTAATGGTAGAATGGCCGAGGGAGGCGAAGTGGAAATGGAAGTTATTCCAATGGGTGTAAATGATCATGAGATTGGAGGCACCTTCCAGAGTCCCTCAGCTTTGGTGGTTGATGAGACCATGCTTGAAAAAATCCTTGGGGTAAAGCTCTCCTGCTCTGTTCAGTGTTCACTTTTAAATAGTTTTTATAGCAGAATATAATCATTGATGGCTGTTATATATTGTGATACAAACGTGACATTTGTGAAACTTAACTGCATACTGTTTTGTCGGGTGCAATGCAGCCTCCAAGGTTTGATGACAGTGAAGCCGCTGATCGAGTGGCGTCAGCTGGCGTTTCTGTAGGTCTCGTTTGGACTACTTTTGGTGGAGAAGTCCAGTTCGTGGAAGCTACATCTATGGTAGGCAAAGGCGAGATGCATTTGACGGGCCAACTCGGAGATGTTATCAAAGAATCTGCTCAATTAGCTCTTACATGGGTAACATCTTCATTTGAAACCTTGCTCATTACACACTGTAAAATACGTCAGAACTTTTTAGTTGATAATCTATTGATGTTTTTTAGGTAAGAGCTCGTGCGTCAGATTTTAAGCTGGCACTTGCAGGGGATATGAATGTTCTTGATGGACGAGACATCCACATTCACTTTCCTGCTGGTGCAGTGCCGAAAGACGGACCTTCTGCGGGAGTGACTTTGGTGACAGCTCTGGTTTCGTTGTTCAGTCAGAAACGAGTTAGAGCAGACACAGCCATGACCGGAGAGATGACACTCAGAGGTCTCGTTCTACCTGTTGGTGGCATCAAAGATAAGGTACACTGCGTCTAGTTCTAGCATCCCAGAGCTTCACTTGTGGTTAAAAAAACCGAAATTGAGTACCTATTCAAAACATATTTTAAGAGGGCTATGTTAAATCGATGAACAGATATTGGCTGCACACCGGTATGGTATCAAAAGAGTGATTCTACCGCAGAGGAACTCGAAAGACTTAGTTGAAGTACCCGCTGCTGTACTTTCCAGTCTGGAGGTAAGTTGTTAACTTCAACCTTAGTATTGTTCTCGGTATTGCGGTATGCTACCTCCTGCATATGAGGCCCGTTTTGATTTGACACTGGAGTGGTTACCTCTTGCGGATTAGCCCGCGGGTCGGGTAACCCACCAAACACTAGAAAAGAATCATGGGCTGAGTCTGGCCTGACTCTGAATTAATGTTTTTGAATAGTTCTAAATTTGGTATGAATGGTGGAACAGGTGATATTGGCAAAGAGAATGGAAGACGTTCTGGAAAATGCATTCGAAGGAGGTTGTCCATGGCGGAACAACCACTCTAAGTTATGACATATCCATACTTCTTCTCTCTTTAAGACCACAACAGAGTCGGCTCAGCCTCAGACCATGTTTGTTCATTTGGTAAGGAATCAGAATCTTTGCATATCTTTTTTTTCTTTTTCTTAATTTCTCCCACCCACCTCTCCCATATTGTATGTTTGTGTATGTAATGGGCTTAAATTTATCATCTAATTTAATTTACTCATCTCCTCACAAACTCAATACCCTCCGAAATTTGATTTATCATGATATGAGTTATTTAAAATTTGATTCCGTAATCTAAATATATGGAATCAATTTCTTCGAATTGACCATCTCAACACCTACAAACCCTAACTAACATCCTTTGGGAGGAAGATCGCCTTTCGATTGTTCAATTGTCTCCTTCCTCTTTTCTCGATCCTTCGTGATCCTATTGCTTTTCAGAGAGTTTCAATATCACTATGGAAAACATCGTTTTGTCATCTCGTCTCAAGATATATTATGTTGGGTTCCCGACCACCTTTCGATCAAGCTTAGAACACTATAACCATCCTTCAAACATATGAATTCTCAATATAGATGACTTATCTTTGGATAAACCATGAAGCAAATAACACTAGTTTAACTGGTATTTAGGTATTATAACTGCTATTAACGGAAAGAAAAATTAAAATCAATAATTTGGTTGAATGTTTTAATCAACTAAAATCCATTGACCAATAACTTTTCATTCTTTTCAAAATTATCCTTCGATCAATCTAATCAATTAAAATCCATTGACCAATAATTTTGTTTATGTAATCTTTAATATCGGTTTGCGTTAAAATGATGTATAATTGTATATTACATACTGATTTTATAGTATTCCCATTATGCAATAATTTTGACAGCCAACATTTATAAATTTGATCAGAAAAAGTTATACAACAAATTGAAAATCAAATTAGCGTTGACGTTTTTTCTGAAGGGTTTGTAAAAAAAAAATCTTGAAAATGTTAAAATCTAACCTATAAATAGCAATAATAAATTATAAATTATAGTTTTTAGGTAATACGAAATATAAAAAAGACGCGAATTTGTATGTACTAAAAAGTTAAAGGACATCTCTTCACGCGCTGAAATTGTGCGGTTTTAAAAAATTAAACTTATTTCAAATTAGAATAAGAAAAACTAAATATTTGAAAAAATAAGATAAAATTTAATTGGAGATCAAACAGTATAATTAAAAATTACAATTTGCTTATTTAATCTTTGACTTTCTAATTTTGTTTATGCAGCCTGACACCCATCTAGACCGATCTATAACGAGGATTTCATATCATGATTTTATTAATTTTGAATTAATATACTTTTTCCAAGCAAATCTCGAAAGGTGTATTCCTTCAGTGGCTGATGGGCTCAAGCTATCATCAAGAAAGATTCTGTTCACCCTGTTCAAATGCAACAAAAAAGTCACGGTGGAGCAGCTTGCTTCTGATGTTTCTAAAACTTGCTCGTATCACCACAGCCAACAGAGTTTGGCTAAAACGATTGTTAGGATGGCACAGGATTATGTTGGTAGCCCCAACAATGTCAATTTACTTGACCCAGATGGCCAGTTTGGTTCTCGAATCTCGGTAAGTATAGATTAATCATTTGTTCTCGTTTATGATGCTTAACTCGTAAGCGTGAGGTTATGACACTTTAACTTTCTTATTGGGATTGGATTGTGGCTTGCTTTGTTGAGTTTGTATATTCGTAGGATGTGGTGTGAAAGATTCCAGAATATATTTTCAACTATGCTCGTACTCATCATGGTTGTAATTGTTCTATAGGGTGGTAAAGATGCTTCCAACCCAAAATATATTTTCACTGAGCTATCGGTCATGGCAAGAGTTTTGTTTCCGAATGATGATGATGTCCACCTACAGTACTTGAAGGAAGATGGGAAAACTATAGAGCCATTATGGTAATTATTTGCCCAACTCAGTGCAATACATTTGGCTTTTAGTAATTTTAGATTATTTAATGTTTTTCAGCTATATGCCGGTAATTCCAACCGTACTTGTTAACGGTGCCAGAGGGGTTGGAAGCGGTTGGAGTACGTTCATACCTAAATATGACCCTAGAGAGATTGCTGAGAATATAAGACGTCTCCTTAAAGGGGAAGTAATGATAGCAATGGATCCTTGGTACAGAAAATTTAAAGGAACTATAGAAAAAGTTAAATCCAAGGCAGGTGTGACGACTGCGTCTAAGGAAGGTCCATGTACCTACAAAACCAGTGGTCTATTCGAGGTGATTAATGAGACTACTCTTGTGATAACGGAGCTACCAGTCTACAAATGGACAAAGAAGTATATAAGTTTTTTGCAAGATACGAAAGAGAAAGGTTTTATCCAGGTAGAATTTCTGCTTTAATTACAAAGTTTCATAGAATTCGTGTATGCTTCTTTGTGATTCAGTCTCCTTCTTTCTGCAGGAGTTCAAGAACAACAGTGATCTAACGTCAATCAACATCGAAGTCACACCTTCTGGGTCACTGGATCAACCGGGTTCGAACACATGTCAATTGATTAAAATTTGTTTAATGTATTTAATATTTATATAGATTATGTAATTTTATAAAAATAGTAATAAAAATAATCATACTATGTTTAACAAAATATGAAGTCTAACAATACGAAAATATTAAGACAGTAGGATAGTAAATACGAAGAACTGAAAAAAGTTCTAAACATAATTGAATAGTGAATACACTAAAAGTTTAGAACTTTATATTTTATTCCAAAATCAAATGATTTTTTTTGAACAAAGATGCGGCCGGATACCGGATTACTGGCGTGTTTTTGTGGGCCTCTCCAATTTAAAATTGTTGGATATTAACAATAAACTCAAATCGAAAAAGTATTCGAATCGCGGATTAATCTTTCGGACCGGACACGTCAGATTGAGCGTGAAAACACTGATTAATTCAAGGTGCAAAGTCATATAGAACGGAAATTGAGGAGAATTAAGCGAGTTATTTTTATCATGCGCTAGCTTTGCGAGTAGAGAATGTTTTTATTCGTGCTTGGGCTTGCTCGTCGATAATTTCTACTAGCCCATATTGGTTTTTACTCAGTTGCCCATTAATAATTTAATCTTTCCTGATTCAGCGTTCATCGTCAACTTGTTTCCCATCACTACCCGTTTTTGTTGGATAATGGATTCGATCATTTTCACTATTTCTTAGTCTTACAGTTTCTTTTTTCCTCTCTCCCATTTTCCCCAATTTTTTCCATGGGAATATAAGCATTTAGTTGACTGACACTAACATAAAAGCCGACAATCTTATTATTTTTGGCTCTGTAACAGAAGAAAAACACATTAAGGGCTTAAAAGACAAGGGCCCTGAATGTTTAGTAGTTTTTAATTGGTTTTTAGATTCTAGTTTTTGGATTTTGGTTTTTGGTTTTTGATTTTTGTGGTTTTTGATTTTTGGTGTAGATTTTAGTTTTTGCAAAATTTTGAATGGTAATTTATTTAGTTTTTAGTTTTTCTACATAAAATAGGGTTTTAGTTTTAAATAAATTGGTAAATGGTAAAAATAACATAATTAAAATAATAAAAAAGAATTTAAAAAAAAATTGACGTAAAATGTTTAGAAAAACCCACAAAACTTGGTTTTTGGTTTCTATGAAGAAAAACCAAAATCTCCTAAAATCTGGTTTCCCTATTTTTTAGGAAATCTAATTATTGGATTTTTGCACAATCATAAGCCAAAAACTACTCCAAAAACTGCAGCCATTCAAGGCCAAGATAAAACAGGTGTTACAGAAAATATTAGGAAACGAAACCTTAAATAGATTCCAACTTAGTTTCTCAACACAACAAAGTCATACCCAAAAACAAAGGTGCAGAGATATGAACACAAGAAACTTTTTTGGGTTTGTGCCCCTTAAAACAAAATCATTTATTCAAACAAACGTCCAACACAATTAAACAAGAAAAATCAATTTCTAGTTTATTCCATCCTTTGTAGTAGTAAAAAGGGACTTCACTAATCACTTGAAAAGCCAAATGATTTAGTTTTTTTTTTTTTCTTCGAAGAAATAAAGAAAGAGAGTAACCTTCTTTTAGCCCGAGAGAGCTGCATTGATGGCACTGTGAACCTCAACACCAATCTGTGCCTCTGCTTTCTCAAGATCTGTTGTGGCAGAAGCAAGTTTCTGTTGGAACTCAGCTAAACCCTTTTGGACTTGGCTAGGGTCAATGTGGTCAAGTGGTACAGCTTCAACCGCGATTATGTCGGCGACTGAATTTGCGTGGAGGAATGCAAAACCACTGCTCAGGAAGTATTTCTTCACGTCAGTGCCTTCATGGACAGACATAATACCGGGTTTTAGCTCAGCAATTGTTGGAACGTGTCCGGGCAAGACACCCATTTGCCCTGTTGATGCGGGAATGATGACCATGTCGACCTTCAAGTATATGAAGAGAAACCAATCAGCTTTGAGTTATGATTAAAGATATAATAAATGAAACTCTAGGATCAGGGAAGTTTTAATTTTGTACGTATAGAATGTGAAGATGATAGCGCAGTAACAAGATGGTTGGAAAATGCATCAGGAAATAAGTCTGGCAAGATTTAAGCTATTGTTGCAAAGAGATACCTACAGCGAATGCACCATCTACGCCTACTGATCTTCATATGTACTACGAGAATCTAAATACTATATGATATATATGACTACTGGCTATGGAGATTAACTCATAAAAGTTAAGCCGTTATAATCGACATTCAGTCTAAGAATATACCACATTATATATCAATAAAGGAGAATAGATCATATATGAAACAGACATTATATGTGAATACCATTGTAACTGAAACCAAAAAAAAGCCAGACAAACACTAAAATTGGGATCATTTCTATGAATAGAATCTCAATAACAGACCTCTTTATCAAGAGTCGGAATTCACATATCCCATTTCAATGATTGATCAACAGAGAGCAGTAAATTATTCGACTAGTCTCAACTTTTTCAGTGATGTAACAAGCAACATACTCAGATACTGAATACATGGTTAACTTTTGAACTATAAGAAGATTGTGTATTTTTAACAACCAAGAGGTGCAAATTTTTGACAATTCTTCACTGCAAACAATGTTTGAGAAACATCCAGAAACTAGAATAATTCTTGTCATTGTAACGCAAAAATCAACAATTGCTAGACTCTGGTAACGGCATCAAAACCCTAAAATGTAGCGCCGTCAGATCTAACCAAAATCAAAGGTCCTAAGACCTAATTAAGCACATTTGCATATCTTATCATGAATCAAATATCAGCGTAACAAATTATAGAACAAATCCAAAATGGTCCAGATCAATCACAAACCAAAAGCCACACACAATCCAACAATCAGACGTATTCACACGAAGAGCACCATGAATAGATCAAACCCTAAATGGGACCAGAAGATCGAAGAAGATGGAAAACCAAACCTCTTTCCCGGTAAGCTCAGATGTGTAAGGAAGGACAAAATTGACGGTGAGCTTCGTTGGGATAGAAGAAGGAGTCGAAGGACGAGGTTTCATGAAAGCAGAAGGAGTCTGCGGTGGTTCCATATTCGGTGCGACTTTCTTCCATGCCTCGACGAAAGTCGAATCGAGCGTCGATGGAAGTTCCGTTGAAAAGGCACGAGTCGTCGCCGATTTGGCAGATGCGGCGGCGACAGATCGGGAGAGGAGACGAGAAGCTTGTTTCAACATGGCGGCGATTTTGGTGGTGGTGGTGATTTGAGTCTCTCTGAGAAATTTGGGAAATTAGACGTCGCAGATGAGAAAGAGAGAGAATCTGAAAAACTCTTAAAAACGTTGTAGCTCAAGTGTTTTCTCAGACTCTGAAGCTCACGCGCACTGTTGGCGAGTGAGGTGAGTTTTCGTGTTTCGGCCCATATATGCTGGGTAAGGCCTAAACTTAAAGCCCATTTGTAGCCCATCTTATTATATCTATATCGTCAATTCGTTATTAGATAAACCGAACCGCATGTACCGAACCGAAACCAAAGTAAAAAAACAGAACCGAACCGAAAATTTGAAAATAAGCGAATGAATAGTAAAATTAATAACCGAATTTACCGTAACCGAATCGGTACCGAACCAAAATATTTTGGATAACCGAAATACCCGAAATACAATTATATTTTCAAAATAATTAGTTATTTATATACCAAATAATCAAAATACTTGAAAACTTTATAAAAATAGTTAAAATACTCAAAATAACAAAAATATATCAAAAAATACTCGAAAATAACCGAAATATCCGAAAATATCCTAAGCGAAATAACCGAATAGATACTAAATTTTAAAACCGAAATAACCGGAACCGAAACCGAACCAAAATTTTAAAATATCGATACTAAATTTTAGAACCGAATGAACCGAAACCGAATGGACCCAACAAATAACCGAAAGCCATATATAATGGAAATATTAAATTACAAAAGTTGAACCATCTTGAATTCTTGATCACGTTTGTTGGATTCAGATTTAGATTTAGGTTTAGTTTTAGTCTGAACCTTTTTTTTTTTTTTTAACATCCATACAAAGACATCATACTAGCATATGATGATTATTAAGCTGTTGAACAAAAGAAAATCGGAAGATTAAAATCAGATTAAGGTTTAGTACTCTGGCTGTCCGCATATGTTCCCGTGTTATAGCCATCCCTTTTTGCGTTAATTTTCGGAGAAACTGTAAGCGCCCTTTCCTGAAGTTTGAGGACTGTCCTGAAAGCTTGTGTATTTCCTTGATCATTAACATCATATGTACATGGCTTTATATAGCCTTAGAGGTTACACAAAATCAGGAGAGTATCCACATAATCATGGATAATAAAAACAATATAAACAGAATCCTAATATCGTGTAACAAAATATATTTGATGTCTATCACCCTCCCTCAGTCACATCGTCAGAAGAACGGTGAAGCTGGTACGGAATTCATTGTGTAGTGATGTCGGGAGACCCTTCGTAAAGATATCGGCGTATTGTAGCGAAGTGGGAACATGTAGAACTTTGACATCTCCAATAGCAACTTTGTCACGAACGAAGTATATATCGAGCTCAACGTGCTTCGTCCGTTGATGTTGAGCCGGGTTAGTGGAGAGGTAAACCGAACCGACATTGTCACAGTAAACAACAAAGGCTTTCTTGATGGGACGATGCAACTCTACCATGAGGTTTCGTATCCAAGTAAGCTCGGCAACTGTGTTGGCTACGCCTCTATACTCGGCTTTAGAGCTAGAACGTGAGGGTGTTTTCTGTCTCTTTGCCGACCACGAGATAAGATTGGGACCAAGGTAGACGCAGTAACCTGAAGTTGACCGTTGTGTGTCGGGGCACCCTGCCCAATCTGCATCTGAGTAGGCTGTTAGCGAATCTATCTGACCACGAACCATCTGAATCTCGTAATTGAGCGTGCCTTTGATATAACGGATGATGCGTTTGAGAGCATGAAGGTGAGGCTGACGAGGCGTGTGCATATAGAGGCAAATTTGATGAACATCATATGAAATATCTGGCCTAGTCAAAGTGAGATATTGGAGAGCACCTGCAAGTTGGCGATAGTAGGTAGGATTTTTAAGCGATTCACCATCACCGATGGAGAGTTTCGATTTAAAGTCCACTGGAGTAGCAAGAGGCTTACAATCCGTCATGCCAGCTCGAGTAATTATATCTTTAGCATAGACAGATTGAGACAAGAATAAGCCTTTTGCGTTGAAATCCGCCTTGATGCCGAGAAAGTGACGTAGTTTTCCCAAATCTGTCATCGGAAATTCCGTTTTGAGTTTATCAATGATGCGACAGAGGAGATGAGGTGTTGAGGCAGTGAGGAGGATGTCGTCAACGTACAGAAGCAGGTAAGCAAACTCTCAGCCAGTCTTAAGAATAAACAAAGAAGAGTCAGCTTTGCTTTGAACAAAACCCAGGAGTTTCAGATATGAAGAAAATTTCGAGTTCCAAGCTCGTGGTGCCTGCTTAAGACCGTAGATTGCCTTGTTGAGTTTGCATACATAATTGGGATAGTTCGGATCCACAAACCCTGGCGGTTGATGCATATAAACAGTCTTTTCCAGGTCACCTTGTAAGAATTGTTTTTGACATCTAACTGATGAATTGGCCACTCTAAAGCGACTCCAACATTAAGCATCGTACGAATTGTTGTAGGCCTTACAACTGGACTAAATGTCTCATTGAAATCAACTCCTTCCTCCTGTGATTTACCATTCGCAACCAGTCTTGCCTTATGGCGAGAAAGAACACCATCAACATCATATTTATGCGTATTTAACCACATAGATCGCACCACATTAACGTTAGGCGGCCTAGGTACCAAATTCTAAGTTCTAGTCTTAATCATAGCACTATGTTCATCAGTCATTGCGGGATTCCAGTTAGGGTCAGATAAGGCTTGGAGATGGCTTCTAGGAAGTGGCGATTTGGTTTTAGCAATGAGGGACAAAATTTGTTTTGGTTTGGTTATCCCGGATTTGGACATTGTTTGAATAGAATATGGGACTCAAAAAATTGGATCAGGACGAGTGGTACGTGTTTGGGCTGTGGTTGTGGTGTTTTGAGCTGGCGGATGGGAGAATGGAGCTTGAAAAATGGATTGGAAGAGTGGGGAAGGTTCGTCAGAGACATGAAGGAAGTGATATGGCTCTTTCGGCATCGTAGGGACAGCTGCTGGAAACTTATCTTCATCAAAGTAAACATGACGAGAGATAATAATTTTGTTTGTTTTGAGATCCATGCAGCGGTAACCTCGATGTTGAGAGGGATAGCCAAGAAATAAACAGGGTACTATTCTTGGTGAAAGTTTTGGGAGGTTGGAGTGGTTTAGGTTTGGGAAGCATAAGCACCCAAATACGCGAAGGTGGTCGTATTGTGGTTGCTTTTGAAAGAGGAGAGTTTGTGGGATTTGATTTTGTATAGCTTTTGAGGGAGTGATGTTTAGGACATGGACAGCGGCATTAAGAGCTTCGACCCAGAAAGATGGTGGAAGTCGAGCTTGAAACAAGAGAGTTCGTATGGCATTATTGACGGTTCGAATCATCCTCTCGGACCTTCTATTTTGTTGGGAAGTGTGAGGACAAGAAAATCGAATCATGATCCCTTTAGAAGCACAAAACTTTTGAAATTCAGAGTTGTTAAACTCACCCCCATTATCACTGTAACGCCCCGACCGTCCCTACCAGTGGGCCCCACGTCCTCTCTCGGGCCCATGGGCCAACCCCTGTCTGACGGCCGGTCCGCTACGTTTGAGAGGCTTTAAAGACTTTTTTACCGACCCTACAAATCACCACATGATCTTTCCCTGTGTTTTGTCCTTACTCACACAGTTCCGACAATCACTTCCCGGAAGGTCACCCATCCTGAAACTACTCCAGCCCAAGCACGCTTAACTGTGGAGTTCTCTCAGGACAGTTGACCGAAAAGATAAGTGCACTTTGGTGACATTGGTAGCCAAATCAATTCTTTTAAACCTCTCCGCATGCACCACCATATTCCTGAAACCGGGGTGTTACAATTCAACCCCACTAACAGATCGCAACGTCCTCGTTGCGCACCAAGACCGTCACCCCCTATGGTGTGAGCCCTCTTGACTCCACACTCGTCTGGGTTCGGCTTTGATACCACTTGTAACGCCCCGACCGTCCCTACCAGTGGGCCCCACGTCCTCTCTCGGGCCCATGGGCCCACCCCTGTCCGACGGCCGGTCCGCTACGTCCAGGAGGCTTTAAAGACTTGTTTACGGACCCTACAAATCACCATATGATCTTTCCCTGTGTTTTGTCCTCACCCACACAGTTTCGACAATCACTTTCCGGAAGGTAAGGTCACCCATCCTGAAACTACTCCAGCCTAAGCACGCTTAACTGTGGAGTTCTCTCAGGACAGTTGACCGAAAAGATAAGTGCACTTTGGTGACATAGGTAGCAAAATCAATTCTTTTAAACCTCTCCGCATGCACCACCATATTCCTGAAACCGGGTTGTTACAATCACATTGAAAGTTTTTTATTGTGGTGTTGAACTGATTTTCGTCATAAGCAGAAAAGTGAAGGAACTTGGAAACCACTTCACTCTTACGTCGAAGAGGATAAACCCACAGATAATGAGTGAATTGATCCAAGAACAGAACATAATATTTGATGCCGCTTAAACTTGAAATTGGAGAAGACCATAAATCAAAGTGAATGATATCAAAAGGTTTGGGAACAAAAGATGCAGAAGCCCGGAAAGGAAGTTTTATTGATTTTCCTAGATAACATGGTTCACAAGAAAAAGAAAGTTTCCCTTTATTACATAGTGATGGGTGGGAATTAAAAATGGAATTAAGAGAAGCGTTATTCGTGTAGCCAAGTCTTTTGTGCCAAAGAGTTGGGGTGGAAGCCAAGAGAGCAGTAGAAGCAACCGATGTTTTATTGAAAGAAGCAGGAAGGGAATAGAGATCACCGAAGCTTTCACATCGGAGTAGAGCTTTCTGGCTTTGAAGATCCTTCACAGTAAAACCAAAAGGATCAAAATCCACAGAACACCAATTGTCACAGGTGAACTTACGAACAGAAATCAGGTTTTTAACAATATTTGGAGTAACAAGGACATTGGTGAGTGCAAGAGGTTTGGTTTTGGTTCTAATGAGGGAGGAACCTATGGCTGAAACCGGGATGGAAGAACCGTTACCCACAATGACAGTTTAATTAGTATTACGATTAAGAGTAGATTGGAGCATACATGTGGAGGTGGCTAGGTGAGAAGTGGCGCCAGAATCCATGAGCCAATCTGTAGTAGAAAGGTCAGCGATTGATTCAGATGTGCAGCCCTGCATTGGAAACTAAACAAGGTGGGCTTGTTGCTGTGGTGCAGAAGGCTGTTGCTGAACCTGTGGCCACGTGTGGTACTGTTGCAGCCAATGCGGGGGTGGGGGTGCCCAAAACGGGGTCGAACCCCAAGGAGTTTGATTGTAAGAGAAGTTTCCTCGGCCTCCTCTGTTGTTACCTCGGCCTCCTCTTCGATTTCCCCTCTGATTTCCATTGCGATTTCGATTGGAGGTATGGCATGGCTGCTGTGGTGATGAAACAGTGAGGGCGGTGGAGGATGAGGAGTTGGCCGTGTGTGAAGCGGTGGCGCGGTGTGATTTTTGGACTCGTGTCTCCTCCCATTCAAGCATAGATTTTGCAGAATCATAAGTCGGAAAAGGATCTTTGTGTTTGATAACGTTGATAATGTTATCAAATTTCTCGTTAAGTCCATTGATGATGTACATAACAAGAATTCTGTCGTTGACTGGTGTGCCAACATTGGAGAGAAGATCAGCAGTTGACTTCATCTTTTGGCAGTAGTCACGAACCGGCAAGTCTCCAATCTCCATCGTGCGGAGTTCGTTATCGAGCTGAATAGCTCTCGCCTCTCTGTTGTTTCGGAACTGGTTCTCGACGCGTAACCAGAGATCACGAGCCGTACCTCCTTGTTGAAAGGAAGATCGAAACAGGGTTGGAGACATGGTGCCATAAAGCCAAAGCTTCACAAGACCATCATGTTTGAGCCAAGCTGCATCATTAGCGTTGGCAGGCGGAGTGGAGCCGTCGAGATGTGCGGAGACATCAAACGCCATGCAGTGGGTGAGGAGGAGCTCTCTCTAGGCATCGTAGTTGTGCTCATTTTCATCAAGGAGCACGGGAATTTGATTTTTGATGTTTGAACACCATAGCAGCGTTCGGTGTTAGTGTTTGCTGCAGCCATGTTGGCGTGAGGAAGAAAAGAAAGAAGAAGAGAGATAAAGAGAAAGAGAAAAAAAAGGAGGATCAGAACCGTAGAAGCTCTGATACCATGAAAGCTTGTGTATTTCCTTGATCATTAACATCATATGTACATGGCTTTATATAGCCTTAGAGGTTACACAAAATCAGGAGAGTATCCACATAATCATGGATAATAAAAACAATATAAACAGAATCCTAATATCGTGTAACAAAATATATTTGATGTCTATCATGCCCTAGGTTAGGATTGCTCGTGGCAACAACGATGAATACTTTTTGAGTTGAGGAAATCACGCTTCGGAATCGGTGCTTCTTTTTGAGATTTTGTTGGGTTTTCACTAGTGCACCTAGTTTGTCTTTTTCTAGTTTTGTTGTTCTATTTAGATTTCAGTTTTTTTCGCTAATGTTCTTTTCTGTAACTTCTGTCAAAAGTTCAAAAAGTTCAAAAGTTTCATTGTATCACATTAATAGAAAATGCTGACGTATGTAATTTCATCCTTTTAATATATTTCAGTTTAAAAATTTTAATGTATACAAAACGAAATAAATCTAATTAAATTAAAATTTGGGTTAGGTTTTAGGATTAGTCTCCATTGTGTTCTAAATTTGTATGTTGTTGCAAAGCAATACATCTCTCGCTCTAGTTTTCTACAACTACCATTGATCTGGCAAAACCCTAATTCGGCACCAGAAATATAACCAGATGTTCTAGAGAACTGTTTTTAACAACTATCACTGAGAAGAACTTTGTACTTTTTCAAAGATTTACATGAAAAATATGATATGCCTTTTGCTTGTCTTTCTTTATAATCATGTTGATGGTCAAGCTCCAGATTCATATGCCCAGAAGGTATCTGGATCTGGACAAAGAAGAGAAAAGTCTGGTACTTCTAGATTTGCGACGTGCCAATCAAGGAACCGAGCTTGTATTGACTTGAGTAACAAGAGGATTGTTGGTAACACCCACCATCTATCATCATCCCTGCCAAACCATTACCAATTTTAAGATCATTTACTAAAAAGTTTTTTCACTCAATATACGGGTAATGAATAACGAAGACGTTTGATGTTCTATAATCATCTAACAGCGAAGATCTCTAAATTTGTCTTTCTAGTTCCAACAAAGTGTGAGGGTTTAAGGTTAAGACTGATTATAGTATGGATGGTGCAACTTTACGATACTTTTGAATGTTTAAGAGAGGACAGAAACACTATTTATTACCTTATGGCGTTCCAGATGTTTGGTAGCTCGTCAGAGAAAAACCCGGAATGAATGACACCGCAAATGAAAGCCACAATCTGCAGAATACTTGCGAATAAGATACAATAGTCGAAAAAAGGTCACTAGTTTTGAATTATGTTTGTATTGACTTACGACGTTTGTTAGAGATGTAGCATTCCAAAGGCCGTAGATACGAGCAAGTGAGGCTCTTCTCATTTCTTTACTTAATAAAGCGTTAAGGCCGGCAGGAAATGGGCAAAGCAGGGAGAGAGGGAGAATCAGGAGGATAGCGAGAAAGGCTGCAATGGCAAGCCAATAGAACTGAAGTAATGCAAGTAGCGTAACTGAAAGATCAGCAAGGAGAAGGATGGAGATCAAACGGAGAAGAGTGTCCTGCATAAACCACAAGATTTTTGTTTGCTTATGTTAAGAAGAAAGTAAAAACAGATCATAAGACGAGTTATTGAGGAGAGATGAAAATGTAACCTGACGCCCAACAGGTCGAGTGTTGTTCAATAAGAGAGAAAATGGAAAAAGTAAATCCCTTCGGTACTCCAAAGATTCTAGTGAAATCTCATTGATGAGGCCTCCATTGATTCCACCATTGATCCTCTTCCGAGATAATCCATGTCCTGGTTGGATCAAGTTTTGCTGCAACTCGATAAGAGATTTGCTGGGACATGCAGAGCTGTTCCTAGAAAATGGAGTTATGATTAAGCAGGATAAGTGTCTTTAAGTCTAAGACAAGAGACATTAGCTAGGTTAGATCAAAGAAAAGCACAATCTATCATGGCTCACCGAGGTGACTCGTCGTCACTTCTGCTGAACGAAAGTGATCGGTTTACAGTGTTCAGAGGAAAATCGCCAACAAAAACCAAGATACCAAGTTGGTAATATCCAGAAGCAGTAGCTTGAAACCATCCAAGTTCAATTCTTACTCCATGGAATTCTAGCTGAGGATTTCCATGGCTGTTTATCCACCTAATGACAGGAAGTAATGCTGAACGAATTGATCCGTGCCTCACAGTCCTAAGCTGAGCATTTAAACCAGCAACAAACCGGTGCCAAACACTTGGTGGGATGTGCTGAATAGTCATTTGGAGCCTTTAGGAGATTTTCAGAGTGGAGATTTTGGAAAAACAAAACACAGACAAAGAAAGCTAACCTGGCCAAGAAGATTTGTTAACAGTGTATCACTATGGAGACTATAAGGTGACATATAACTTCCATCTCCACCAAAAAGTATGCACATTGGGAATCTTTTCTGTATAATGGAGACCATATCTACACGCTTCTCATCACCGCCAAGAAAGAAATCTATGTATGCAACCATCAGATCCGGAGTGGCTCCAACCTGTTTCGACGTTGGACACAGCAGTCAAAATGAGAAGTTAAAGCTACATGACTGTGAAGAATTAAGGATAATATTAGTTAATAAGAATCTGAACCTTCATCCCTTTGTAGAGAGCTCTAGATCTGCATGAGCGGAGGCAAGAGTGGTCATATTGAGATTTGACATATTCTTGAAGGCGGTGAATTTTTCTCCTGCGACGCCATTGTTTCCACGACCAGGCACAAGGATTTGCAAGAACTGATAGAATGCTGTGCACAGACCCTTCCCACCAATCATATGCTGCGGTAGAGTTTATTTCATCAATAAATCTGTTAAAAGCATCTTCGTACCTGCGAATCAGAAATGTACAGAACTATGAGTGAACATACCTTGGAATAAAGTGAGCCAAAGGCCAATGTCACATTGATAAGCAAAAAGAGTAGAATTAAAAGAAAACGGGACTCGGGATTAATGACATACATAGTACAATATAGATTCTCTTTTATTCTTGCCAGTAGTTAGAGTTCAACACTTCATTCAAACATTTAGCAACAATAATCACAACAGTATTTAACCCAGTCAAGTTATATCCTTACACTATCTCTATGATTGCATCAGGAGGAGAGTAGGGCAGATGCCAAGGTTCCCTGAAAGTGTTTGGACCCATGAAGTACATACGGTAAGCATGGGTTTGCGTGTCCTCAGATTTTGCGCCTCGAACCTGGAATGACAAGAAACAGGCATGTGTTTGGTCGACAGATACTGGATCCATATGTCTTACAGAGAAAATATAAGACTTGAAAGAAGACGATTTTCGCAACACAATACCTCAGAGAGTGACAGAAGATGGGGTAAACAATGAGCACTCTGGTGTTCGATGGAATTGGCACCATAGAAACTCAATCTGAGTAATTTGATACTTAATGTGCTTAGCAACAGACCCAAAACTACCACCACACAAGATAGAAGAAGGGTAAAGGGCAATGGCCCTCCAAATGTATAGACAAGCTCTTCCAGAGGTGTATAGCAGTTTGGCAATCTGTATTTGTCAGATACACATTTATAGGGACAAACAGGTTCACTAACTCCTCCTGCAGATTCAAAGCACCTTCCGTCAGAAGACATACCAATTAAGAAGAAACAAAAGATCAGGGAATGGAAGAGTAAGAGAACTATTAGATAAACTACCTCGTACGTATACAAATTTTGCACGACTTGGAAGATGCTCAGGCGGGCAGGGAGTACAAAGATGTTTGTCAGAGCCTTCAACATTCTTGTAAGTGCCAATGGGGCATTCCTGGAAGAATACATGAATCCAGAAATACGAGAAGTATCATGCACAAGCAAACAAGACAGAGATTTGCAATTATGCTAAAAGAACACTACTGGGACTGTCTAATTTTTTGGTTTGTTACGCCCATTTATTTGCTAGAATAAGAGATAGGCAGAATTGGCACAAGGCTAAGCCATAAATGGCCAGACTCGAAGTAACTACAACATAATAAACCATAAGACTTACCAAGCAAAATGTACCATAGAGTCCCTTCGGACACTTTTTCCCAGTCATTGTTCCCTCTTCCCCGAATCGACCTCCATTGTCCCCTGCACCTCCTCTGAAGACATCAGAAAGAAACCAATTCAAGGTCTGTGTTCAATTTTCATGACGACGCGTTTTGCAGATTAAAAACATTTCTGTCAGACTCCACAGTGTTCCAAATGTTCCGAAATTTTCATAACGAAAATAGTACAGGCAGAGTCTCAACCATCAAACACTAAGATACCATTTTCCTCTCATATCCATGACCCTGCATAGTACTAAATCAACGTATATATGCATATTTTACCTCAGTATTACAAATGAACCAAAAGGTAGCTAGCACGCAAGAGAGATTGCTACACTTGTCATGGTAATGGTGCATACCTATTACTAATGGACCCCTTGACAACTGCAACAGGAGAATACTCGTCCCCAGTGTGTAACATGTCCCAGTGAAAGTGAAGTCTTCCCCCTCCACCCCCACCACCCCCAAGAGGGCCACCCCGGCCCCCTCGAACTGATAGAGATGAATTCTTTGAGAGCTCAAGCATCTGAAGGAAAAGAAGAATCGTCCCACCAGATCCCCCACCAACTCCGCCGACCAAAGATCTGTTACCATTCGCTGTTGGCTTCCAAAGGCTTTGGCCATCAGAGCTCAGAGATCCACGCAGATTAAGTATCAAAAGAGGAAACTGGATGGAGCCAATTACTGAAAAGGTGGAAAACAAATTTGTAAATGTCACTTGACAGTGCCAGATGA